GTAGATGTCAAATATCCAGATGGGGGATTGATATCCTAAATATTTTTTATAGATTTTTTTAGTTTTTGTCTAATTTTAGTGAAATGTCTTATTTCAAGTTTATTATTAACAGAATTTCAGAACTTTCAGTGTAAAATGATGGGCATCTTTTTAAGATAAGTACATACAGTGAAAATACCTCATAAATACCTAATAATAATTTTATTAGAAAAAATAATTTTCTCCTAAAAAACAATTGATGTCATTATCTTTTTAATCTATGCATTAAACATTAAGAAAATGAGTTCTGAAGAGACAATGAATGTATTTCAATGAATTACATTTGTCAAATTGAATGAAGAATGTTTAAACGAAATGAAAAATCCAATTTAAAAAGTATTTGGTATAAAAAGTCCACTTTGAAGAGTTATCTTTCCTAATTACCCAAGACTCAAAACACTAAGGAACGTTTGACATTACATCTAAAGTTCAGAACAAAGCTTTAAATTGCCAGAGTATACATTTAAAACAATAAAGCAAATATATGAATTAACACCAACACAGTAAATAGTAGATTTTAACTCGAATTTCCTCCATATAAACATGTCATTGATTGATAGAGCTCACTGCATGCATCGCTATGAAATTGACATTACTTGTTTGGCGAAGATTTGACTGCTGTTTTCTTTTGTTTCTGCTTAAAAGCAATTCTTCTTGGTTAATGCATAATGAATCCCTTACTTTGCTTTCACTGTTTATAACACCGCATGTTTCATCTATTTTTAAAGCGTTTTAAAGGTCATGGTCATATTTTAGAGGTACCTGTATAATTCGTCCCCGGAGGAAAACGATCGACACAATGGAGGTTTATTTATTTGTGTAGTACGTCATCAAAAAGTGGTGTAATGAGCCTCCTTAATGAGTTTTGAGTGTGAGGATCTAACTGATAGAGCATTGGTGTTATCTATATCCCTTGGGTATTGGGCAGATGGGTAAGCCTGTTGGATTAAAAATAGCTCTTGTTGGCTAGCCTAAGTTTCAAAATGAATTTGATGAAAAGGAATTAAAACTAATTTGATATTGCACAATAGACTAATCTGATATTATATAATATTATTAATTTAAAAACTAATTTTTAAATATAGGGTGGGGTGGAATCAGCATGTCCATATGAATTAAATATTAAAACCTGTCGGACATTAAATCTCAACCAAAAAAAAATCATTGAGTATTTTATATGTTTAAAAAAAAAATTTATGGTAAATAGTGCAGACCCATTCATCTCTTGGTAGTAATGAGTAGACAAGCATCCAGTTAAAGATTAATTAATGAGTTCAATGTAGGAAGGCTATCTTATCTGTATCCTCTAGGGATTAGACAGAAGAAGTGCTGGTCAGTTGCTATGTCATTTGATGGCCAGCCTTTTCTTTTCAAAATTAATTTGGTATAGATTAAGGTTTTAAGACTAATTTGATATTGTTTAATATGATGGGCATTTGACAAGGTCTTACACAACCAGCATAGAATGATGTAATATTTATTGTAATTAATGCCTACATCACAGGGAATGGATAAATATTTGAAGGAATGGAAAAATCATGGAAATCTTAGAATCAAGGTTGACATGATTTTCTTGCACGCTAAACTGTTCAAGAAAATTGTATTTTTTTGACGGGCGTATCATGCTGTTTTCTATAGATCAATCAATTTAAAATAATTTATATGTGTGTAGTATTATTTACTGAGTATATAGAACAAGTATATAATTATATATTCATTCCTTTTAATTAAGTTACTTTAAAGTGAAAAAAAAATAAACATTTTTTTCCTTTTTAATATCGATAGCAGGTTATACATTTAAATAAGAAATAAGGTATTATTTTAAAACATCTTTCGGGATATAAATACGGGTTGGTTACGAGATTAAATTCCATAAAGCCGGAAGGGCTTTATGATGAATTTAATCTTGTACCAATCCATATTTATAGCCCGTTGGATGTTTTAAAAGATACCTTATTACTTATACTTACATTTGTGACTTATTCATACTTTAACTTTGCCTGATTGTGACTTTAAACCTGTGAAATGCGTTATTTTTTAAACCCAACGGCATATATGTAATCCACTGAATGCGCGTCGACCCTTTATGACGTCACTGAGAAATTACGTCGAATGATTATCCAACGATTATCCATACCCACATTTATGACCTCTTGACCCCGTACCTGTATTTATACATTTATAGATACGCATAGCTTTCAGTAGTGATATTTAAAGGAAAACATTTGCAGATGTAAATATATAGTAATAAACCTGCATCGTATGTCCAGAACCGAAAATTTAAGAATTTATATAACATTTTATTTTGATATTTATTGGGAAAAAAAAGGTAAGCACCGAATTTTTTTGTATCGCTGAATATCTAGCAGCATAGCTGTACACATGTAGCTCCCCGAAAAAAAATACATGTAATTTATTGACATGATTTATCGGTTATTCATCACGTTTTTTTTCCAGACCAGTGAGCTACAGATCTGCAGCCTCTGAATATCACAATCTTATCATTATTAATTACTACACTTTTACAACTTCAACGCCCGCTCTTATTAAAATGAAACCATACAAATATTATTAATTTAGATTTCCCACACCCAGAGAATTCTGGGCTGCTTTCTGTTCTATTTCCGCTCTATATAATTTTGATATTTTTAATCTTTTGAATGTAAAAATCGGAAAAAAGGGAAAATTTTAATTGTCCGCTCAATTTTTTTTTCATGCTCTGCCAAAAAATTTGGCCTTCAAAAAACAAACATGGTCAGGTTTGAACTCTGAATGAAATGAACAATTTTTTTGGAATTGAGCTAAAACTTTATAATACTGTAAATCACTTTTTATTCGCGAGAACTTTATTTTCGCGTAATTACGTGAGTCTGTTTGCTCGCCAAAATTTTATTGTCGCATATTTATGTATTATTAATATTTATATAAAACAATAACCACAACACGCGAAAATTTTGTATCGCTTATTAATACCACATAGCTAAGTTGCGAAAATAAGGTGTCGTGAAAATATAGTGATCTACAGTAATTAGTGACAAAAGTCTATTATCTGAATTATAGTTCTGAATAATGAAGTAAAAAATCAATTTATTCATCATAAGTGTTTATTTCTTGAAAGATATCTTGCTATAAAATTCCCAAAAAGTTGTAAAATATTGTTTAATTTGATCCAATGGTAAGGGCCTGGGCCCTGTTCCCTAAATGGGATGGAAAATCCCTGAGTTTGTTTATTGGTTGTGGAAATTCAATATAATAATAGGTTGAATTATTGCTATCCACTGTACTAAAATGTTGATGCATATGAACATCCAAATGATGTGGTATTTTTAGCTCACCTGAGCCGAAGGCTCAAGTGAGCTTTTCTGATCAAAATTTGTCCGTTGTCTGTCGTCGTTGTCGTTGTTGTCGTTGTTGTCGTCGTAAACTTTTCACATTTTCATCTTGTTCTCAAGAACCACTGGACCAATTTCAACCAAACTTGGTACAAAGTATCCTTGGGTGAAGGGGATTCAAGTTTGTTCAAATGAAGGGCCAGGCCCTTTTCCAAGGGGAGATAATTATGAATTAGAGAAAAATTAATGACATTTTTAAAAAATCTTCTTCTCAAGAACCACTGGGCCAGGAAAGATGAAACTGATGTGGAATCATCCTCAGGTGTGTAGATTCAAGTTTGTTCAAATCATGACCCCCGGGGGTAGGGTGGGGCCAAAATGGCCGATCAAAGTTTTACATAGGAATATATAGGGAAAATCTTTAAAAATCTTCTTCTCAAGAACCACTGGGCCAGGAAAGATGAAACTGATGTGGAATCATCCTATGGTAGTGTAGATTCAAGTTTGTTCAAATCATGACCCCCGGGGCTAGGGTGGGGCCAAAATGGCCGATCAAAGTTTTACATAGGAATATACAGTCAAACCTGTATTAAGAGACCTTCCAACGGAGAAAGGAAAAAAGGTCACATATGACAGGTGGTCTCTTAATACAGGTTGCTTATTTTCCGCAGTGTTCAACAAATACAATGCTGAAAATAGCATATGTGTATATGTTGAATGTATTTTATAACACCTTATGTTTATTTAGACTTTTTAGTAAGTACTGGTCAACTCTAAAATGCTTTTAAAATTGTCCTATTAAGAAATAAAAATTTCGTGATCTGCACACGAGTCATTTGAATATTGGGAAATATTGTGAACATCTGAAAAAAATAATATTTTTTCATACAGTATGAAAAAAAAACTGCAACCCCCCTAATAATAGTTTGGGTTTTTTTTAACATGATAGCCTACATGTATATATAACCTCGTATGTTTTGCATAAAACTAAGAATAAAACTTATCATGATTTTTGTTATGCACTTGGTATCAAATTAAATTATATTTATGACTGAAATATTTATTTAACCCATAGGGAAAATCTTTAAAAATCTTCTTCTCAAGAACCTTTGGGTCAGGAAAGATGAAACTCATGTGGAATCATCCTCAGATAGTGTAGATTCAAGTTTGTTCAAATCATGACCCCCGGGGCTAGGGTGGGGCCAAAATGGCCGATCAAAGTTTTACATAGGAATATATAGGGAAAATCTTTAAAAATCTTCTTCTCAAGAACCACTGGGCCAGGAAAGATGAAACTGATGTGGAATCATCCTCAGGTAGTGTAGATTCAAGTTTGTTCAAATCATGACCCCCGGGGGTAGGGTGGGGCCAAAATGGCCGATCAAAGTTTTACATAGGAATATATAGGGAAAATCTTTAAAAATCTTCTTCTCAAGAACCTTTGGGTCAGGAAAGATGAAACTCATGTGGAATCATCCTCAGATAGTGTAGATTCAAGTTTGTTCAAATCATGACCCCGGGGGTAGGGTGGGGCCAAAATGGCCGATCAAAATTTTACATAGGAATACATAGGGAAAATCTTTAAAAATCTTCTTCTCAAGAACCACTGGGCCAGGAAAGATGAAACGCATGTGGAATCATCCTCAGGTAGTGTAGATTCAAGTTTGTTCAAATCATGACCCCCGGGGGTTGGGTGGGGCCAAAATGGCCGATCTAGGTTTTACAAAGGAATATATAGGAAAAATCTTTAAAAATCTTCTTATCAAGAACCACTGGGCCAGGAAAGATGAAACGCATGTGGAATCATCCTCAGGTAGTTTAGATTCAAGTTTGTTCAAATCATGACCCCCGGGGGTAGGGTGGGGCCAAAACGGCCGATGAAAGTTTTACATAGGATCATAGGGAAACCTTTTAAAATCTTCTTTTCAAGTACTTCAAAGCCAGGCTTCGTTATATTTATTGGGAATCATCCTCAGGTAGTGTAGATTCAAGTTTTTTCAAATCATGACCCCCTAGGGGGGGTTGTAAAATTCAAGCCACCCCCCCCCCCCCCCCCAGTTTACTTTCAGTTCTGATCTGATCTGTGTTTTTTTCCTAGCCAATTGCTCAGGTGAGCGATGTGGCCCCTGGGCCTCTTGTTTGAAATTGATTCCTTTTTTTGTATAGGAGCTTTTGCCCATTGTATACATGTTTGAGCTTCCCATGACGGGAACTCCCCAACCTCTACCAGATGTCAACTCTCCTGAAATTCAGAAACTACAGCAACTATATAATATTGCCATCAGTTTCCGACAGCGCCCAAGGATATATGTTTCCACAGTAATTGTTCGTGGTTCTGTATATAATGCTGAAGCAGTGAAGGAGGGTATTGCAAAGCTAATGGAACTTCTCACAGGAAATGTAGTGGTAATTACTGTACTACTACCTGTCTTCATACAAATTCAAGTACTGCTATCTGTTTTCATCAGTTGTGCGCATGCAATGCACATTAACATTTGAGCATTTTCCTCGTCTTCTCTGAAACTGTTCAACCAATGTCAACCAGTTTTGGCATATAACATTACCAGCATTTTTGATGAAATACTTCATACAAATCTTCAAGTTATAAGTGCAGAAAATATTGCATAAGTTCACATTATTATCTTGATTAACTCTTTGCCTCTTGTGATGTTTGTGACGTAATACAGTACAAGCGGTTTATTATCATAGCTTATTTGTCAGGCCAAAACTTTATAATAACCGACTATGATAATAACCATAGACAGCTGAAATTCATCTCAGAGGTCTGACATGAACACATACATGCCAACTTTCCCGATTTACGCGGGATCCTCCCGATTTTACCCTTTCATCCTGCCTTCCCGATCGGGAGAGAAAATTTGCCCTAATTTCCCGATTTGAAAAAAATCACCATAAAATTTCAGATTTTAAGAGTTTCCCTACCGCTGAATTTTGACAGTTGGGATGACAATGTCAGACTTGTTTTTTCAATGCACACAGATAGGTTTCATTGTTTATTTAAACAGGTGTTAAGTAGGCCTAGCCACAGGAAATCACTTCACACTTGAACGCAGGCAGTTGTTCAGGTACGAGTAGCTTATAGCTTGGGGCAATTAGGGGATTATCTTGTCAGTTTTAAGGGTGAAACAAGGTGAAACACATAGATTAACGTGATAACTATTATTCATTTTATTAAAAACATAAATTAAAGACAATAAAATACTAATCAAACCATAAAATCGGAATCCAAAGAGATCGTTTTTTGAAAACGAAAGTAGAAAACTACAAAGCATAGCTGCAGGTTTTATCTACCTATAATGAAAAATATTGTAATTTAGTTTGCCAGTTAAAATGTTATGAAAAAATTAAGATGAAACAATCAAGTGTATGTCAATTAGAATTTCTTTTCCCTCCCTTCTCCCACAAGTAATATGTTAAGGTATGTGCATGACTTAAGGAAATACTCACATGGCAACATTAAGCCTGACAAATTTCATGACTGTAAAAAAAATAATTCTCTTTTAGATAGGTGGTATAAATTTACAGAAATGTAATATCTTATTAGAATTTCTAATTAATTGAAATATAAATAAAAAATCTCAAAAATGTTTCCAGAAGCAGGACTTTACAGTATCAAAACCTCATTTTTTTTTTTTTTTAGCCTTTGAAAAAAAAAAAATTTAAAAGTTGTACAATTTTTCACTAAATTATGTGTCCTGGTAGAAAAAAAAAATGTTTACATATGTAACTAAATACCCTAACTAAATTTTAGCAAAAATATTTCAATTTTGAAAAGAAAACTTTTTTTTTTGGTGTTAAATTAATTCCTAAGTTGTATTGATAAGTGATATCAATATTATAAATTTAAAAAAGATCATTTCATGTAATCATTTAATTTCACGACAAAATGTCGCGAATTTAAAGCTTTGAAAATTGTCATCACACGCTAAATCCCCCATGGGAATTTTCAAAAGTTGGCATGTATGTGAACATCATTTAATAAACTAGTGCTAATTGTAACGGGGACCGTTACAGATGTTCCCCAAACGCTCCCCAACTCCCTTTTGGTGCCATATTCCCTGTTATCTCTATTAAATAAGAAATACTTTATGGAATTTAGACTTAATCAAGGTCTTCCAAGAAAAATACAAAATATATTAAAAAAATAGGCATTGTACGCGTGTTCATGTGCGTAACGACCATATTATCTTGTCTACACTATCTTAAATTTTAATAATATCAAAGCATTTAATCCAAAAGTATTAAAAAATGCACTCATTCGAGTGTATTTTTTATTTTACTCATTTCACGTGCACGCACGTGCAAGCACGTGCATAATGACTACACCTTCTTGTAGGAGTCCCTTATATTTATCCAAGTTCTAAATCTCATCCTGTTTGGTTGAAAAACAAGAGAGTTATAGCCATTTGAAGTTTCAGCCAATCAGATTGCAGCACACGTGCATGCGCGTGATTTCATGAATATTTTCTATATCATATTTTAGGATATCATAATGCATGACTATGTTTTAAATTTCAAAGCATTTCGTCAAAAAACAAAGGAGATATAGCCATTTAAAGTTTTAGCCAATCAGATTACAGCACGTGCGCATGCGCATGCTTTTATTAAAATTTTAATATATCATGCTGTAGATCTTCATAATGTAGGACCATGTTCAAAATTTCAAAAGATTATGACAAGAAACAAGAAAGATATTGAGACTTTAGTTTCAGCCAATCAGAGCAAAGCGCACGTGCATGCGCGTGAGATCTTGCTATTTTGACCATGCCATCTTGTCTATACTACTAATGTATCCTTACATTATGAGTTTCAAAGCATTTTATCAAAAAATAGAAAAGTTCCGACTATATCTATTATATTGGTTATTTCAAGTGTTGCACGTGCGCGCTCTTGCAAGCACGTGCGCGCAAAATGACCTTGATTCCGCAAATCTGCATAACATGTCTACTTACCCTAAAAAGGTTTTACCTACCTCGGACAAACAGTTTACAAGATCATTCCCGGACAAAAAAGTACCCAGGAAGAAGAAGAAAAATAATAATAATAATAATGATAATAAGAAACAGAGTAAAAACAATATGTTCCCCAACTTCGTTTGGGGAACATAATAACATGCCTGCCGTTTTTACACTATATAAAATAAGTGTTATATTATGTAACTTCATATTTAAAGGTTTATTTTGAAATACAAGTTAGCTAACATATCATTTTACATTTTTTACTTACTGTTTTAACATTTTGTGTAAATAAATTCACTTTCCTAAAGCTTAATAATCTCCGAACTCAATCTTCTAGATGTCTTGGCATCCATCTTGTTTACTTTCATTTTGATCTACTTTCGTTTTTATCTCTATGATCAATTCAATCTATCAATAATTCGTTGGCTTTTTAGGGCAATAAAACACAACAAAAAGAGAAAATGTATATAAAAAGTAAATAAAAAGTATATAATGACTTACAAATACATTTAGATACAAAGATGTAAGTTCAACATTTCAGCATGACACAACTTGCTTACCAATTACATGATATTTACGGTATCAAAATAATGTAACAACATAACAGTGCAGGCATTAAAATTGTTTCTTTAATTCTTTTTCATTTTAAATCAACCTGGAAGTGATCATATTCAAGCCAAGTGTCAGGGGAAAATCATCTCAAACACAAGTGCAATTATTTTCTTCTTTGCACCCAAGCGCTAATTTACACTGAATGGGGCCGTATAATTGGAATTAATTGATACACTGATGAGCATGTAAATCAAAGCCGCTTGGACAGGATGGTTAAAAAGTTAATTTCACATCACTTCTTAATTAATTGGACAGTTTATAAATGTGATTAATTATGAACATTGATCAGGCAACAAGCATAAGAAAGCTTGGGTTAATTGACACTAAATTTCTAGATTCAACACATTTTGGTAAAACACATTTATTATCATGTACAATTCAACGTAAACAAAAGAAGAAAATAAGAATGCAAATGGTTTCCTGTTGTTGTGTAATGTACTTTGTGAAATAAACAAACTTCAAGTCATCGCTCAGGTAAGTGTGCTGGAGTGTGACTAATCCCCCTCAGTCGAGTGGCCCACAGGTGTTGACAAGTGTTATCTTTTGTTTTGTTGATTGTCTCAAGAGTGAAAAAGGTGTGAAAAAAAATTATGGACGAAAATTTTCTATTATAGTAACTGAAGTACACACTTTTACCTATGATAATAACGTAAGAAATTAACATTGAATTATTAAGAAATGGTTTTGTGTTTTAAATATCTATGATAAAAACGGAGTATGATATGAAACCGGTGTTATAATAAACGGCTTGTACTGTAGTAGCATAACATTTGTTACTTTTTGATGATGTTATCCTTTTCCCCGCAGCGCACTTGTTATTACTCGATAAAAAGATGTGGTTTTGAATATGAATATTTACATGGTGTATGTAGCAAAGGTTGCCGTATATATTGCCATAATATTCATGCAACCATCTGTAAGATGAATTCAAGTATTTTGATGGTTATTTATTTCTGTTTATTTTGTTTTTGAATACTTCTTTCATGTGTACTGTTACAAACTTGGTATATATTACCATATAGTTTACAAGTAATTTATTATGAATTTGAAATCTAAATCTAAAACATCGTTCAAAATAATTGTTTGATTTACCATATAGGGTTCCATTTTTATGCTTGCCCATACCGAAATTAAGTACAAATTAAGTACAGAAAAAAAGTACAAAAAAAGGTCAAAAAAAGTATACTTTTTTCGACTCAATTTGGAACCAGAGATTTGGTCGTTCCAAATTGAGTCAAAAAAAGTATACTTTTTTTGTGCTTTTTGAGAACTTGTGTTCTCAGTCACAGAAGAAGGATAACAAAAGTATACTTTTGGTACATTTCTATATTTGACCAAGGTACATAAAAAGTATAATTAGAAGTACAAAAAAAGTACCTTCTTAAAACTATTAAACATATTTAAGTACCAAAAAAGTATACTTCTAGAAAAAGTACAAAAAAAGTATTCTTCCAGAAAAAGTACAAAAAAAGTTTTCTTCTTGAAAAAGTACAAAAAAAGTATTCTTCTTGAAAAAGTACAAAAAAAGTATTCTTCTAGAAAAAGTACAAAAAAAGTATTCTTCTTGAAAAAGTACAAAAAAAGTATACTTCTAGAAAAAGTACAAAAAAAGTATTCTTCCAGGAAAAGTACTAAAAAAGTATACTTCTAGAAAAGTACAAAAATGTATGCTAAAAAGGTGTTAAAAAAGTACAAGAAAAGTATACTTCCGGAAAAATAGTACAAAAATGTATGCGAAAAAGTTCAAAAATGTGTGCGAAAAGGTACAAAAATGTATGTAGAAAAAGTATTTAGAAAGTACTTCTTTTAGATTGA